GTAGTCAAAGCACAAACGCAACATCATCAACTGCGTTTACGTTTGCGATTATTTATATTTATTCGGTTATACATCTCGTAAAATTCGTAATAGACGTCATACTCCTCTGTTTTTTCTATCGAAATAATTTTCTTCTTTTATCTCGCTCACTTCCGTGCCAGAGCTAATCTTTTCCTATAAATTATAAGATCTTTCGTAAGATTATGATGAGGCAAAAAAAGCAATAAATGTTCTTATGATTTCTTGATATTCATATAAATGATATACGTTTATGCTATTCCTTGGATTCAATTAAGATTAGGGAAGAGCTTGTGTAAGTTAGTTTTATATTCGCCACGTGTAAGAGTATACAAAGTAATAATAACGGATTATTCCATCTATAATAATAATTAAAAGTTAATGTACAATCGCTTAGTACTGCTACCTCAATAACTTAAATGGCATATTTGTTTTTTTTTTTTTGTAATCTATCATTTAATCACATATAATTACTAACATCAAGAATAATGGCAGAAACATAAAAAAAAATATTGACTAATAATGATCGCTTTTAAATTACCTTAGTGTAATATTTATTTCAATTGTACGTTTAATTTAATTCTACAAGTTTCGTAGAAAAATAGGTGATCTGATGTAATAAGTTTCAATGAACATTACAGGAAGCGTAAAAAAGCTGCTTGATATAAGCAGGTTTTCGAGCTTTAAAATGATTCAGGAATTTTTACTTGAATTTTCAAGCCGTTAATCCCCGTGCATGAAAAGACAAGTTCGCACATAAAAAATTAACGTTTTTTGTGCGCAGTCCAAGTGCACAAGTGTTAGCCATACTTTTAAGAGGATGTTACTTTGCAATTTCGACGAGCACAATTAATAAGGTTTGATGACAATTAGCTGACGTTTGGCAATAGAGGCGGTGAATTGAATTTGTTGGAAAAATGCTCCAACACTATCCGAATGAACGATGCAGTTAGGCAATTATTTATCGCGAAATTTTTGTATAAAATTGAATAAAAAATTATGGTCTTAGCTTTCGATAAACGTAAAAGCAATGCGTGTGACAAAAGTTAGTGCTAGTGAATGTCAGCGAGTTAAATCCTTCCCCATATACTGCAATTGTATGAAATTACTGCAATATGATTTATTTATGCTAATATTTGACATTATTCTGTTCTCGACAGGCTCATTATATGTTTGTAAGTTGTAAAGTTAATTTGCTTAACTGAGCGTACTGTGACTGTACGCGTCGGTAATCTATATTGTACATTCTTCTGTAATTGCTTTATTACACATCGCGCTCTTGTTTCGTTCAAAAATATTGTATATTCTGCTGAATAATACAGAGTAAGCAGACAGTGTCGGAGAATTTCTATAAATCAGATTTATTTCCGATATATTTACATTATAGGTTATATTTATCCTGTACCATGGAAAATAAAAAAATTCCGTATTCGTTATACGAAAATAGGTAATCTGTATTTAAAAAGTGCAATTAAATTCTTATGTTTAATTAAAGTTTAAGCGTATTCTTTATAAAAATTAATATTTACGACTTAAAATATATATATTTAAGAACGATATTATCGACTTGTATGCGTTTTCATATATATTTTATGAAACATTTATTTAATAATGAATAAATTTCTAATTCTTAATCGACATAGCAGCGTACACTCAATTTTTTTCTTCATATCTTTCTTTTTTCTCTATAAATAAATATTGAGCTTCACAAATACAATCATTCAAATATTCTAAATTAAAGCTCTTTCTTTTAAACGAACTTTAAATATATATATATATATATATATATATATATATATATATATATATATAATAATTGTTAAGCAAATAAGACGATAGGATGAAAATTACAATCGCATTGCTTCATAAAGACATTCTACATCTTATAAATTAAATAATATAAATATTTATTATTACCTTTGCGTCTGTACGTCGTACTTCGTTATATAAATAATTCTAAAGAATCAATGATAGATGAATAACTATTAAAGATTGAATGTATCACAGAATCACGTAGTTAGCTGGTTTTTTTTTTCTTTCAAGGTCAATCATCAGCATATTGAATATTAACGTGACCGTCACTACATGTGAATAATCAATGAAAATATCGACTTATTTATTTATCATTTGATCGAATGAACACTATGTCATAGTAGAGAAGATGCTTGCATTTAGTTTTTTTTTTTTTTTTTTTTTTGTATCAATCCAAAGATAATCAAGACACACATAATCGCACATCCCTCGGGATATTTTATAAGTAGGCGACATTTATTGGTGGCAAATCTATCAAAATATCTAAAGAATAGAAGGTGAGACATGGTGCGATATACTTGACATTTACACTAAAGCACAAAATGCATCATTCGCGTATTTATAAATACGTGGAAAGATCGACGATCGGTGAACAAAATATGTATATATTTAAAAAGGTAAAAAGGAAAAAAGGCAAACGAGTAATTTCACTTGTATGCTCCTGTCCTCTTATCATGTAAATATACACAAAACAATATTACTTTATAATTTTTTCCTTTCTTCAACATTGAGTTTTCCTACTGTATACCTTGATTCTCTCTCCTTTGAATTTCCCTTGTTATTCTCCTCCTTTGTCAATATGATGCAATTTCGAGCCTGAGTCGCAACTACCGTCTCCCGCGTAACCAAGTTTATGCGAGAAAAAAAAAACCGGTAATAGAGACGCAGAGCATACGTGCGCGATAAAACAGAAGGTTTAATTGCTCGGAGCTTTATCTCGAAAGCGCGTATCATGTTTACTTTAATCAACGCACTCGCTACGACCTCTCGAGCTTATGTATGCACGCGAGTGATCGTAAATAATCCATTGCTCCTTATATTTAGGACGACTGCTGCTATCCTGCGATAGTACTAGTTTACAACTGTTATTTTATACGTTCGCGTACTCGAAATAATCTAGCATTATCGACCATGAATTTTTAATGGCATAATGGTGTAAGGAAAATTTTTCTAATCACTTGGCGTTATGAGATAAACAGCGATACTGAATAATACGATGACAAAATGAACTTTTTAGGACATTTGACTGGATCAATCGTGACGCGTTCGCCTCGTTCAAATCAATGGCTTTCATAATCACAATCAATCGGCATTCACGAATTATAAATGACAAAGTATACTCGTTAATTATTTAGTAATTAGGGTCGATTCAATTATAAAAAGAACGTGGTGCTTTTAATATACGAATGCAGTTACTAAAATAATTCTATTTACATTATGAATTAAACATAATAATATATCCTCGAATCCTTATTCTTCAATTCCACAAATTCTGCATCAATCGGAAATGATTGATCGAGAGAAATGAAAAAATAAAGAAAAATTGCATATGTTAAAAAAATGTTTACGAATATGCGAGACGGTAAAGAAAGAGACTCGCGCTCACAAGTAGATAGAAGAAGACACGGTGATTATGTCCAGAGACCAACGAGCTGCGGTTCAAACTGTGAGCTAAACTGCACGTTTTTCACGTAATAAGTATACGTAGAGGAGCTTCCGAACGACTCGTAGAAGCTTTAGAAATGATCATATCTTACATAATAATATGCATTTCTTCTCTTACATATGCTTTTTTTTCTGTCCGTGCAGCATTTAAATGCACATACCGTTTCTGTGTTTTGCTGCTTCAGCATTTTTCGCCCACGCTTATGCATGGTTGTTGTTTTTTTTTTTTTTTTTTGTTTTTTTGCCTATTTGTACATATGCCAATAAAATGAATTTAATGCTTGCGCGCTTTTTAGCTTGCTATATTATATATATATATATATAACAATGAGAAAAAGCTTTGGATTTTATATAATAATCGTTGGAGGCATCGTGCTTTTCGACTGCCCGTTATATTGTTTAACGTTGCTTTCCCCTTTCTTTTATAGTATTATTATCTTTTTAACTAGATTACATGCATGACAGGTCGATATGCGAGCATTGGACCTGGACAATCAAAACATTGGCTTCGCTTACGTAAAAAAGGGAAAGCAATTCGCTATATATTTCAAGTATTTTCAAATAAAATTAAGCTTCTATACAATAAAACGCTACTAACCTGACAACATTCGACTCTCACTACTGCGTTACAGCATTACATTAAGATTCTTTATTAAGCTCGGATAACCATAACATTTTCAATAAAACATTTTTGTCATTTCATTAAGTCGACATATACTCGCATCGTTCTCGTCTCAACTCACTTTACCGAAGATTTATGAAATTTGGTTAATTACCATGAATGTTCAAATTGACTAAATAACAGCTGTAATAAATAATAAAATATGAATATATGACTTTTTAGCGTAAGCAGTAAGTGAGGTCTAGCCTTAATAATAGCAGCATGAATTCACTAAAACAAGAATAAATAACGCAAATGTAATTATGAGAATGTTGCAAATTTATGTAATGCTACGATTGTTAAGTCAATTAAAACAATAATTTTCATTAGCGAACACTTTCTTAACTTATCAAAAGAGAATTGATGTTCAAATTTTTTTTTATGTCGAAACGTTCGTTACTCTCTTTCATCGTTAAATCTCAAATACAACTTCTCAATTTCATTCGCGCCCTTTATCAGTTTACTTTTATAATTTCACATGCACAGATCAGATAACTATATACACTGCATAATTTTATTCATTTCTTATCGTTTAAGTAAAAGGAGGGATTTTAATGTTGAATTCTTATTAGGATAAATACATGAATTTCGGAAATTTTATCTTGATTTTCAATGTAAATATATATTCCAAAGGTAGTTTATGTTTAAATGTATTTGCGTTATGAAAGCAAACGATAAATATTCACATTAAAATCCCATGTAATCGCGTAATTTTCAATTTGATTCACAAAAGAATACAAAACTAATCACAAAATTGCATTAAACTAGAACTTCTTACTATTTTGGCTAATAATATTTTCGAATAACAAAGAGAACCGACTAAGTACTATGCATTTGTCCCCAGGAATATTCCGTTCAGTTGACATTCCGAGAACAATGGGTTGACGAAAGACTCCAATTTAACGACTTCGGTGGTAAGTTTATATTTACCAAATCATAAAATACTTAATTAAATTATTAAGAAAGGGTAAAACTTTCGCTCCACTCGAATTAAAATTAGATTAAAAATAACCACTACTTTAACTTAGTTTAACAAATAAACTTTGAATTTCAGTTATAATGCCTGTTAAAATGTTGTTACGAATTTTAATTCTAAATTAAGTCTCATAAATTTAGGAGAAATTTTATTTAATGAAATACGAGTCTTGTCGAAATTATTCATAAAGTAACGGAATTATAGTAGCTCACTGAACACTTTTCTGCAAAGGGAAACTTAAATATCTCACTCTCACCGACGCGAGTCGAGTATGGATGCCCGATCTGTTTTTCGCAAACGAGAAGGAAGGACATTTTCACAACATCATCATGCCGAACGTATATATACGAATCTTCCCGGATGGATCGGTACTTTACAGTATACGGTAATATATTTTTATGTACATGTATACACGTAACACTTGCATTAATTAATAGTGCGTTAGATGACGGAGAAGAAAGGAATGAAAAGAATGAGACACTTAATTAAGAGGCAATCGACAACACTCTAATGTTCTTCTGATATTACAATGTTAAAGATTTGCCAAGTCTTTGTGTAATGGAAATCCAATTTACATACATAGAATTTACAAAGAGTCTTGTGTATAATGTTAAAAAAAAAAAAAAAAAAAAAAAAACTTGTTTTTTTTTTACTTTTTGTTTTTTTTTTTTTTTTTTTTTTTTTTTTAATACGTTCCTCCTATTGTACTATAAATAATTAATGAAATTATTATCGGTTGGATAGTAAATTCATAGCAACTCTGGATGAGAATTTCAATTAATTCAAAATAACAATATTTAATGAAATTAGCAATTAGTATTTTCGTACGAATAAACACTTGTCATATTTGAGTAAAATAAGAAAGTAGATGATAATTATAAATTTATACTACATATCGTTATTTTATATTTTCATTGAATTTATCACAAAATTATTCATTAACATAATTTTTAGTAAATTCGATTAAATTTAATTTCTATCACAATATGCTTTCATATTAATTATCATGTTTACTGTGGAAGATATTTTCTTTTTTCTTTCTTCTTCAAATACAAAAGCTATTAATTAATCAAGTGTTTTTCAAAGTTTCTAATGTCCTAAGTAAAGAAACAACTTAAAAAGAATACATTGAATATAAACTTTTGTGCTAACAGCAAACAATATAGAGATTCATGCTGTCGTAGACTTTTTTTCATATTTAATTGAAAATAATTATATACATTTGCACAAAGGACTCGTGCCTGTTTTTTCTTAACATATGCGTGCAGATATGATACACCAAGGAAAAAGAAAAAAGAAAAACAATGCTACTGAAATCCAAATGAAATTAAAAAGTTTTTTTGTTTATTCACAGAATATCACTGACCCTATCATGTCCGATGAATCTCAAACTCTATCCTCTCGATCGTCAAATATGCTCTTTGAGAATGGCCAGCTGTAAGTATGCAAAAATTTTTCGCTTAATATCTTCCTTCCACTCTGCCGACGGCTCTGAAGGAACGAGCAAACAGAAAAGTGAGTCCTACTTAATCGAATAAACTTTCTTTAAAACGAAAATTATAGACGGATGGACTACGGCGGATCTAGTGTTCTTGTGGAAAGAGGGCGATCCCGTTCAGGTAGTTAAAAATCTGCATCTACCGCGATTCACGCTCGAAAAGTATTTAACGGATTATTGCAACAGCAAAACAAATACCGGTAAGCCCCCCGACCAGTCTCTCCGATTACATTAAGTAAACGTAATCATCGGTATCAAGCGAATCTATGCATGTATTTAACCGACCACTCTTTTCTGATTTTCAGGGGAGTACAGCTGCTTGAAGGTGGATCTGCTTTTCAAACGAGAGTTCAGTTACTACCTCATCCAGATTTACATACCCTGCTGTATGTTAGTCATTGTCTCCTGGGTGTCCTTCTGGTTGGATCAAAGTGCCGTACCGGCTCGCGTATCCTTGGGTAAACACGGCTTGTCTCTTTTACCAGTCCTCCTCCCCTCTACTTTTCCTCCTCTTACATATAAAGCCTCTTGATTATACGGAAAACTTTTATAACCATATTACGTGAGTATGTTTTTAAAGTCTGACAATTCCAATTCGCCGTTAACTAAAAGCGTATCGGTATAGATGAACAAAAAAGAAAAAGAAAATGAAAGAAAGAAGGAAAGAAAGAACGGAAAGAAAAATTAGAATATAAAGTAAACGAAAAGTTACTAATTGTACCGAAATATCTTGAATATTGTCACAGAGCGTTTACAAAGTATTAGCATACATTATAAATAACGAGCTCTAAGTTAATTAATAATTAAAAATAATCGTACGCCACGAACCCACAGAATTACCAATGATAAAGAGCAAATTCTCTGCTTTATACGTCAAATGAGTATTATAATAATTTAGATACAATATTCTAAATATAATTCTGCTTTGTCTTTTTTTTTTTTTTTTTTTTTTTTTTTTTTTTTTCATAAATTCTTCGTGTTTTTCTTCATTCTTTCTTTCTTTTTTCTATTTTTTTTTCTTCTTTTTTTTTATTGAACCAAAAAGATTAAATGTAATTTGAGACTTTGTTGTATGTTACATGAACGTTTTTAACGCCTTTGAACCAGCTAACAATGCCAAAAAATCAAATAAATTGTAAATAATGCTAGGGGAGCAAGAAAGTAACACACTGAGAGAGAGAGAGACAGATAGAAAGTAACCTAAACGATTGTCATAAAATCCGAGGACAAAATGATAAACGACAGACAGAAATGAATAAAGACGATCGATCAAGTGTCGGGACGCGCGTCCCTTTGGCTTACCCTACATCACCACTAATATAATACATCCAAGTGTCCTCCTCTATCATCATCATCATCATCATCATCATCATCATCATCATCATTATTATCATTTTTTTCTTCTCTCATCGATCCAACAGGAGTGACAACTTTACTGACAATGGCTACGCAGACGTCCGGCATAAACGCATCTCTGCCGCCCGTCTCCTACACCAAGGCCATCGATGTCTGGACAGGCGTCTGCCTAACCTTTGTGTTCGGGGCGCTGCTCGAGTTCGCCCTCGTGAATTACGCCTCGCGTAGCGACATCCACCGCGAGAATATGAAGAAGCTGTACCAGAAAATGGAGCACTCGTCGTCCGTCGATCCGGCCTCGGAGCCGTTCGAGCCTGACGGCGCCACTAACTTCTCTATGGTCAGTGTTTGTTCGATTCGCACTTGTAAGCAGTTGCGTTCAAATAATGTCTGCGAAGATCGAGAGTCTCCGTTATTATTATTTACAAATATACGATACTCTGGGAATTTCTAGGGATGAGAAAGTGTCTCGTTCGAATCGTTAGATAACCGACTGTTTAACTCTCTTTTTTTCTTATTTTCTTTTTCTCAAGTGATTCGACTGAGTGATAAATAAAGCAAGACACATTAGGCCTTATCAATAAGCCATAGACTTGTGGTGCATTTAAATCACCGATTTATCTGTAATTATCGTAATTTGACGTGAATTTATGATTGTGACAAATGTTTATCCAAGGTCTTTGGAAATATTACTTTTTTAATCAGTTTAGCAGTGGTCGCTGTCGTGATCGATTGGCATTTGTGAAATTACTGGAGATAGCCTGTCGGTACGCGAGAGTAGTTAAAAAGTTCGCGGATAGGCAGAATCGGTTTTTTTTTTTTTTGTTTTTGTTTTGTTTTGTTTTTGTATGAAAAACATTGATATTAATAATATGGCTAAATAAAGAAACAAACGCGTTATCGTAAGTATTTAAAGAATATCGACGGCTTTTAAATTAATGCTTTGGTAAATAGGATTAAAACTACTTATTTAAATAAGACTTTTACGCGTTAAAAATGAAAGTTGATCTTACTTTATTTTTAATTCATTAAATGTATATTAGTTTAAGAAATTCTTTTTCATTTAAAGGGGAAAGAATTTCTCAAAAATTTAATACAAAGTTTGCGCGTAGATATAGTTTCTCCGGTGTAAGGAGGAGACGTCTTAAGGAAACGTTGACTTCCGTGGTAAATGAAGAACTCGGTCGTCCCTCATTTAAAGTACTACGGACAAACATGAATTATAAACTTTTATTCTCTAATACCACTGGAGTAAATTTAAATGAATACTATCAGTATTACAAAAATTCTATCTTAAAGGTATATCTATGTTAATTAAAAGAATGAATGATGTTTAAGCTGCCTCCAATTATAAACTCAAACAGCTTACATTCAATTATGTTCAAATTGAGAGAGAGGGACATCAATATTAATATTAAATTAATTATTGAATAATTACTTGGGCGAAGAGACGCGAAATTGATGAGATGTATTATTGTTCTTTATTCTGACCGATGAATGGAAAAATCATAGAGAACAGCCGAGGATCTATGAAAATTAAGATCCATTGCCTGTAACGCTAATAAGTCCGTCCTAAAAATATAATCCGGCAAATTAATTCGTCGATAGCGTAAGCTACTTAAACGTAAGTGAAAGAAGTGAAAAGCAAAGCACCGGGGATGCGAGATTGCGACATCAAACTAATATTTCATTTGACAAAAAGGAGACTCTCGATTTAATGTCCTTGCGACACGCATTCATCGCGTCGTACCAGTAGTACAACACTATACCAACTCCAACCAAGCCAAGAGGATCGTCTGCCTCGCTCGCTCCACGCTTTGATCGGACGTAATTATACGCGACAGCAAATTGAAACGAGAGTTGGTTGGATAGTTGAACTAGCGGTGACGACGTGGCGTCTTACTGCAACTATAAAAATGAAAAAATTAGCACGAGAAAACTTAGCGTATTTTTTTGTTTGTTTTCTTCTCTCTCTACTTCTCGTTCCCAATTAACCCCACGAAGAACTTGCCGCCACTGGCGCCAGATTGGAAATCAAAGGCAGCGCATTTCTTCCAGAAGCCTCTGGTACGGCAGGAGGAAGACAGCATGTCTATGGAGAAGATGCCGCAGTGCGAAATACATACGCAACCGCCGAAAAAAAACTGCTGCAGGTCGTGGCTGTCCAAGTTCCCGACGAGGTCCAAGCGCATCGACGTCATCGCGCGGATAATATTCCCCCTCGTATTCGCGCTGTTCAATCTCGCGTACTGGTCAACGTACCTATTTCGGGAGGAAGCGGATGGCGAGTAAGCCTCGACGATGAAGCGCTCGGATCAAGGAACCTGGCACGCGGCCACCTCTATTACTCCCAACCCCGTGCGACGGCCTCGTCGTCCTCGGCCACTTCCAGCCACGTAGGCAAAACCGGTAGCGGTAACAGTAGCCGAACCTCGCGTTCGCAACACAAACACCATCACCACCACCACCATCATCCTCACCATTCCCATCATCACCACCACTATCATCATCATCACGAGCACCAGCAGAGACAAGACGAAGAATCGCCAAGTCCCTCGCCCTCCCCGCCCCGTTCACACTCGTCCCAACGATCGACCCCTCACCAGCAGCATCCCCATAACCATCACCAGCATCATCGCGCATCTATGAAGCAACAACAACAGCAACAGCAGCAGCAGCATTTACAAGGACACCAGCAGCAACAACAACAACAACAACAACAACAACAACAACAACAACAACAACAACAACAGCTATTGCGCTCGCATTCGCCCTCCTCGTCCTCGATTACGGAGAGCGAGAGTCACGAGCCCTTCGAGAGAAGCAGCTGCTCCCGGGCGAGCCTACACTCGAGACGCTCGCGCTCCCGGTCCAGGTCCCGTTCACGCTCAAGGTCCCGAAGCCCGAGCCTCGCGCTGCCCTTGGCCTCGCTGCCCGGCTCGCGTCGACACTCCACGCCGACGCCGCCCCCGGAGCAGCTCCAGCCAATGCCCAGCTCGAGCTCGAGGCTCCACTACCGACAGCCTCAGCGACCGCTCCAGCCGGTGCAGCACCAACTAACACCCGTGGCGGCGGCCCAGCTCTTGAAGGCCCAGGACTTTCAGCGGTTCCGCAGGCTACCGCCCGGTTACGCGGATCGATGCTGCTGGGGTTTGCTACCCAAACGCTGGTTCACCTGCCACGCTAAAGGCAGCGCCCAGATCGATGTCTTCGCGAGGTTCGCCTTCCCTTTAATGTTCGTTGTTTTCAACCTAGCCTACTGGTTCACCTACGTAACGCGAGGCGACGATAACGTCGGGCACAATTGACGATGCGCGACACGGCCGTCGACTGCGACGAATGGATGCGCCAAACTCCCCGACGGCGGCTTACGAATTATCGGCTCGGGGAGACGCCGAGGAGCCAGCGACGCCGAGTCCTTCTGACGCGAATGCCAACGACACTCCCTACTCTCGATTCGGCCCCTCGCCTGGGCGAAATCGCCGAACGAATAAGCCATAGATAGGCGCGAGCGTGACTACTTGTCGGTTTAACATCTGAAAGAAATTTTAGCAATATGCACGTGCGGGTGAGAAGGCGGGTAAGGATCGAGTGATAAGCAATGCGTTCCGCGCGTAAAGATGTATTGTTGCGATTTGTCGTTTTCACTTTAAAAACAAAAACAAACAAACAAAAGAAAACAAAAAAAAAAAACAAAACAAAACAAAACAAAACCAAAAAACAATCGCGCGCACATACATCCAATAATAATAAGTCGTGGCGGTGATGGTTGAATTAATAAACGGGAAAGATGGATTAAGGAAATATGCCGTGCAACGTGGGGTGCTTGAAATACTGTTTATCTCATCGGGCGAAAAATAATCAGAGTAACGAACATCAAACGATCGCGTATAATCGAATTCTTGGCTTGCTTTACGCGTTTTGAAAAGGCAATCGAAGCTGGAAAAATGTACAGTCACGCTCGTGCGATTCCAAACCCATCGAGCTCAAATCGTCCGGAAGCACGCAAGGCTCGTAGTCGCTGGCTAACGCGGCTATATGTGTGCGTGCACGCGTGTGCCTGTTGTGTATGCCTAGTATGTATCAGCGTATCGAAAGGTCGAATAATGCATGTATGAAAGGGTATGATAGGAAGCACCAATGTTATAAAGCAACATGCAAGCGATCTCGACATTGGCTGCCAATGATGATTGCCAAGTTGTGTGCGTATGAATGTGGCCGAACGTCGTTATTATCGCAAGCGCATGCGCGCAATACGAATGCATCGTGGAGTAAAATTAAGACTCGAGGAGACCGCGCGCCATCAATAAGTGACAATGACTTTTAGTGGGCCCTGTATAGCCACGGCCTATCTCCGCAGACAAGAAAAAATCTTTATCTAGAAAAATAAAAAATAAAAACAAAACAAAACAAAAAAAAAAGAAGACATTATTGCTCGTTATAGTGTTATATTTGGTGTTTTATTTGTTTTGAACTATTTTTAATTATAAGATTCATAGAAAGCTAAAGATGAAAATGTCGATTAATTAGCGGTGCAAATATGAAAATGAGAGTGAGAGGGGGGGGGGGGGAGAGAGAGACGAGATGAGAGAGTGAGAGCGATAGAGAGAAGCATGGAATAAGTTATATACGCATCTATAAATTTATATGATAAGTGAAATGAAAAAAATGTTCCATTTGAATATGAAAATGGAAAAAAGATTTGGACAATTGGAGTCTAAATATATTGTTCTATATATATATATATATATATATATATATATATATACATGAAAATTATGCCTATATGTATCGAGAAATTAAAGGAAATAAAAATACGTATTGAGCTCGTTGTAACAACAGTCCGAGCGAAGAATCTTACCGTTACATTCAAAATTCATTAAACTATTAAACTATTAAACTATTTAATGACGAGAAAGAAAAAAATATGTTTGACATGCCCCTCAACACGACGATAAAAGATTATATACGCACATCAGCACGATGGCGCTTCGGGCAATTTCACTTGCACTCTACTCTCTTCACGACCGATTCGCGCGGAGTACTTTTAGCATCTCTTTTTCTGGCTTATATTTCCACATGCAATTTTCACGTTTGTATTAAATGCCAACGACGCACGTAAAAGGACTCGCGCGAATCGCCAAGTTTTATAAAACCAATGAGATAATGATCGTGCGCCGTAATGGGATACATAATACGCGACGCTTAAAAGCTTCTCTTACAATCAATTAAACAAAAAAAATTATAGAATTTTAAGAGACGAAAATTTTGATACACAAGTACGCGTTACGCGGAGTGCGTGCATGAGAAATTAATCTGATGCGCCATTACGTTAGGATAAAATTAACAAAATCAAAATATGTCCTACTATTCTCTTGAAAGTTCGACTTTTATTGAAAAAACGAAAATAAGTGCGAATGATACGTGCGAAGAAGAAAAATAGGCAAGTTGGAAGGAAAAAAATGTTCTTTGCTATATCTCGGACGAGGTGAAACAAAGTTTTGAGCGAAAAATCGAAAATTCGCCGTGTTGCGAGGCAACTCGATACCCGTTAAGTCGTTAATTGGAATACACGTATACTCCGTTACACGTCTACATGCGTACGCGCATACGTAAAAACATGTATACGTACGTATAGAATCTCTAATTCTCAGCGAATGTCGAAGTAGACATAGTTAGAGAGATAGAAATAAGTGTGTGTGTGTGTGTGTGTGTGTGTGTGTGTGCGCGCGCGCGCGCGCGCGCGTTTAAAACGTTGAATTATGTAGACTTTTCGTCATATATGTGCGATATTACCACATTTCATGTACGATTTAACGCGTAAGTGTGCGCGGTGGCTCAATTTAGGATATACGAATTTATGTGCGTAAAGTGCGTACGCGTGTTTTGAATGTATATATATATATATATATATATATATATATACATATGCACGTAAATACGCGTACATGATAAAGATTTTCACCACACTAAATCAGGAACAATAACTACAATACTCAAATTTTTCTTCAAATACAGCATTTGCAATGAACGAGATTGAGTGAAATTTTTAAGCGTTACTCACCAATCAGCGAAAAAATTCTCGTAGAAAAAATTGGACGAATAACAATTTTTACGAAATATTGCAAAAGATGGTGCGACGTGAAAGAATTTTACCATTGTAACTTCCTACATTACGTTCTCGAAGGTTACAAGTTTTTAAATAAATCAACGCATTACGTTTATAATATCTATATTAACAGCTACGTCATTAAAATGTAGCAATTTGATACTTAAAGGATCTAAAATTAAAAAAAATCTTTTATTAAAATATAAATTTATGGATTAATATCGACGCTGTGAACTTAATAGTTAAAACATCGCCGTTTATAATTTATTAAACTTCGTCACTTCATTGAATAGAATCATAAATCGAAGTAGTCAATTATTAATATTAAAAGCTCAATACTTTTTCGTCATAGAAGTAACTCGCACGGTCCTTGCACCAAAAATTTCTACAAAATATTCAAATATATACATGTGTGCGTGTCTTAGAAGGCCTGGCGTACGCTCGTATAACATATTAAATGAAGAAAAAAAAAGCAACAACCCCTCTCTAAACTTTTCTCGAAAAAGGGCTGCCGCGACACTTCAAACTAACTTTCATATAGATTATTATATACATATATAAATATATACATACAAACGCTATTGCGAAGCTCTAACTATACTGTATCATGTCTTGTAGTAATTAAGAACGTGAAAATCTTAAAAGCCACGTAAAATGAAAATAACAAGGGAAAAAGATCGACAAGTGTGCGTGCGCGTACGTCCGTGCGCGCCTGCGTCTCTGTCTGTGCATACGTGCGTGCGTGCGTGCGTGCGTGCGTGCGTGCTTGCATGTGTACGTAGGCTCATAAAACTTAAGGGAAATTACCCGAAATTAGGCAAGTAAAAGAGAGAAATAAAAATGTGCAAAGAGAAGACGATTTAAAAATGCATACATTATATGTAGCTTGACTTTCCTCTAACTCACTATTAATTCGTAATTACATGGCTCTCTGTTCTAAAGTTCTTATATCCCTCGATGTATAATAATGTTTATTTATGCTACAACCGCATAATTAAAGATTCTTATCATAATAAAAGCTTCTTGCTTTGCTAAAGGATAAATTAAATTGAAAGGCCATTAATAATATGCAATTATTTTATAAACTTTGATATTAGTGCTTATGTTTGGAAATTTTATGGTAAACAGTGGGAAATGTGTTGTTTTTAATTATCTGGATTTGTAATCTAACCGAGGCTTGAAGCTTGAAATTTTTCAAACGAGTTCGAAAAAAGATCAAAAATTAAAGTGCTAGGGTAAGTTGCGTAAAATGATCTAGTAATACCAATGATGAAATCGTTATAATCACAATCATTAACTAGTTACGTTATGAGTTGAATTTCATTCTAAACTAAATGAAAATAACAAATCAACCAATAATTCATCGAAATATTCAAATATAAATTCATGGCTACGCACGTACACAGCTATGTGTTTTTACATGTCAGCTATAATCTACATGTAGAAGGGAGAGAAAAAATTGCGCGGCAAGCTAAACATCGTCCACGGTGACGTTCGAGAATCTACGGACAACTTTCCATCAATGTTATATAA